TATTGGGTTGGTTTTTTTTTTTCCAATGGGTTGGTTTTTTTTTTTTTTTTTTTTTTTTTTTTTTTAATGATACAACATACCTATAATTTTTGTACAATATTTTGTGGACCCCCGAACTGCGGTTCACAGACCACCTAGGGCATGGTGACCCCAGTTTGAGAACCACTGCTTGACAGAATGTTTTCTTGTGTTTTTTGTCACCTGGAGGCCCGGAGCTGAGATGTACAAGATAATGTTCTCCTCCCCACACAGCATACACACACTCACCCACCCTCATGTATGCTGTGATAACCCAAACACACCACCGTGATGGCGACTCCACTGTGACACACACACACACACACACACACACACCCACTTATCACTCAATTTTTCGGGTGTCAAATCATGTTTCAGCACCACACATTCCTCTACGCCATCATACAGGAAAAATGATAAATATCTCAGTATCGCAGGTAAATTAGTGACTTGGTTTATTAAGGGGCTGCATGGTGGAGTAGTGGTTGGCATGTCTGCCTCACAATTGAGAGATCCTGAATTTGAATCTCTGCTTTCTCTTGTGTTCCTTCCTGCTTCCTTCCTACATTCCCAAAATACGAGCGTTACCTTCACTGAAGACTCGTTATCCTTTTAGTAGTGTCTGAATGCTTGTTTGTACCCTGTGATTGGCTGGTGACCCCGCCCTTGCCCAAAGGCGGCTGTGATAGGCTCCAGTTCACTGGCCACCCTAATGAGGACAAGCGCTACAGAAAATGGATGGTTGGTTTTATTAAGGTCGCAACCGAGCATGAAACGAAAAGCTCTTCAGTGAGCCATAAAGCCGGCTGCTTTCCCTTTATTTATGCCTTTGGATTCTTGAGCTTGATATAAAGTGAAAATGGTGTTTGGTTTTATTTGACACTCTAGGCAAATGAACGTCAGGCCAATTAAGCTTACCCTATAAATTACACCATTCATCTCTTTGTGAATCACATCCAATAAAGCTTTTTATAGGGTGGCTCTGGTACTGCAGTCTATAGCCACCTGAGGCGAGAGCTGACATTTTCACAAATTTCATTATGTAATTGTAGGAAGTAATGTCATGCTGAATTTCAGAGCTCAAATGTGTCTTCGCTCACTTGGCCTCAGAGGTTGTCAATCACATTTGTCTACAATGAAAGGGTTACTTGAAACGCTCAGTTTGGCGCCATTCACTGTCTGGGTTATAGTTTATGGTCAGTTTAAATTAATGGTCACTGATTTTCTTGAAAGTGGACAATTTAAAGGGGTGGAAAGGGGTGAAAGTGGACAATTTAAAGGGTTTATGTCAATCATGTGAAACATGATTCACATATGTTGTCATTAATTCACTTTTTAAATCAGGTAAATATAAAGGCGCCCTGAGATATGAGTTTAGTTGGTTCCTTGACCATATTCGAAATTCACAGCTTAAAAAAAAAAAAACACTCAATTTTTCTTTGTATGAGGAAAACCGTCTCAGAATATCCACTTAATAAAACTTATAGCAATAACATACAGAAAGTCAAGGATGAAACAGTTTGTGCATTATGAATTCATTGCGACACTTTCTGACGTTTGCAACTTGCCCACCAAGGGGCAATATAATACAGTCATGAAGACACAAATGAAGACTTTACCACTACTAAGTGACTCAATAACCTTAACATTCTTCGTTTTTTTTTTGCAGAGGATAAAGAATATATGCCTGTAAGTAATGTTATGTTGGTTACGTTCAAATATCTGTTGCTTGTAGAGTTATTTTAAATGAAATTCATTAGTCCATCTATGGCACAGGTGTCAAACTCAAGGCCCGGGGGCCAGACCTGGCCCGCCACATCATTTTATGTGGCCCGCGAAAGCAAATCAAAGATGTCAGCTTTCATGATGCTTGCTGAAAATCTCTACCAAAATTTCAAATTCTCATTTGTAATAAATAAGAGTGATACTGTCAGCCTTTTCTTGTTACCAAACCCCTTATTACAGTAACTTTAACAATAGGTGAATAATCCGTTATTCTTGACTTCTTTATATGGTTTCAGTCATAACGGCCCTCCAAGGGAAACTGTAACCAAAACTAGGCCCGCAACAAAAAATAGTTTGGCACTCCTGATCGATGGCATTTTGCGTTAGCATTAAGCTAAGGAGACTTTTCTAAGGCAAAGCTGTGCTTTGATTTCCTATACAGTATAATGTACTGTTTTCGGCAAAACATGGCAGGCTCCTGCATAGGGGAGGTGTGCCCTATGTAATACAGTATAATTAAAGATTACTTCACCTAAGATTGTATGGAAAAAATGCTATGCTATGATCGAACATATATGTTACATATTGAAATAAATAGTGGGTTTTTGAAGTTTGAAAAATCGATACATTTTTACACACAGTCCCTTTTGTTCTCATGTGTTGTATTTCATTAAAAGGTCTCTGATATTCAAATGTGGTACAAAATCACACCGTTTTGGTGGGACAATGCTGTTTTCATATAAATGTCAAGTATGCATGGTCTTTGTAACCAGTGACTTCAAACTATTTTTCACCCCACCCTCCAAAAATATAATCATTTTATTCAATAGCTATCTTTTTTTAATAGCGTTTTTGTACTGATCTCGGTGAATCGTTGCTTGAGTTACCCCAAATCAAAACACATGGTTTGAAAGTAGTAAATAGTTAAGCATTGTGGCTCCGAAAAGAGGGGAAAAGAATGACAGAGGACATGACCTCTGTGGCAACTTTGGCCGCGTTCCCCTTTGGCGAGGGGCCCCATGCATACATACATGCAACCCCCCTGTGACCTCTGCCGTGGGGCTACTCGTACCGCACTAGCACCTGTATTCAGTGCGCCTGCCTGCCGGTCCCGTTTTGGAAAAAAAAAAAAGTTGCAATGCTCCAGCTTCCGCTGTGTGCGTCTCAAGGGCAAAAAGGGAAAACGAGCTGGCCAACCACAACAAATGAGCACTGACTGCTCTGCTCTGCTCCTAATACATTCTCCCCCCCCCCCCACCACCACCTTTTTACCCCCTTTTTTTAATTTTGAGCGGACAAACCTCACCACTTGTACTACAGTTGGACATGTCCGTTTCTTAGCATTATTGTTATTTTTAAAGAAGATTTCAAAGCGGTGGCTTGCTCCGCGGCGGCGACAGCATGGCCACAATGTGACCGAGCTTGGAGCGCCATATGCGGCACCGTGTTCCCACTCCCTCCCGCCCCTTCTTCGTCATGCGGTGGATCACCGCACGATCCAGCATCCTCTTCAATAGATTTTTAAATCTTTTCCAGTCGACCTCAATGGAGGATTTGGCGACGGAAAGAAGACGACCTCTAAAATGAAAGCCAAACTTTCCTCAAGTCTCTTGATTATAATCACCATTTTGTGCCGATATGTTGGAGATTGGGAGGATTAAGAGAGGACTATCCACAAGAACATGAGAGTTGTACACCCCCGGATGAAGATGAAGATGCCACGGAGGATGGCGTTGCACGACCGGGAGGCTGGAGAGTGAACGCCGGCTTTGGTGCGTCTTTGCTCGGTCACGGAGAACACGGACACGCACATACAGAGAAGGACAGACATCTTTGGATGTAAATGATCCAAAATTATTATTGTAGTTGGCTGGCTCCATAGGACTCCCGTGGATACAATGGGGATTATGCTCCAAGTTATTCTAGGAATGTTTCAATTCCTACTGCTCACCACAATCCCAACGTCCCACGCCAAGGTAACGTATGGATGTGTGTGTGTGTGCGTGTGCGCGCGCACGCGTGCGTATGTGGACCATCTGACCTCTAAAGTGTCTTTGCAAGCATGTGTTATACTTAATGTGTTTGATAGTCACGGTGTGTTTCAATCCATTGTTTTTCTTTGCAAGTCATCCTGCTGCGGGGTCAATGACCACCTGTCACCTTAACTCCATATCTATCTATCTATCTATCTATCTATCTATCTATCTATCTATCTATCTATCTATCTATCTATCTATCTATCTAGCTATCTATCATTATTATTCATCTACAGTGTATCTATTTCGATCTCCTGTCTATCGAGCGTCATTGTATCTTATCTATCTGTCTAAAGATCTGTCGGTCTTAATCTGCACATATGTCTAGATATCAGTCCTTAAAATGTCTATAAATAAATCTCTATGTGTATCCAGCTATCTGTCGATACAAATCTATACATCTATTGGTTAATCTATCATCTACAAATCTATACATCCGTCAGTATACAGAGATATCTGTCGCTAAATCTATCTGTCTATAAATCAGTCTACAAGTCTGTCTACCTAGCCATGTGTCTATAGAAATCTATACATCTATCTGTGCCACTGTATTATTTATGACTCGGTCTATAGATCTATATTGGTATGACTACATACTGTCTGTATCTGGCTAGAAGTGTCTAGGGTACATATCTCTTGTCTGTACAGAAATCTATAATCTAGATATCTATATCTACCTACCAAATTTATCCACGTGCCTATCTGTCAAAATGAAGTGGAGTTCATCTTGAAGCCATTATAAGAACTGAATACACGCCTCTTCTTGGCTTTGGTTTATGGTGTTAGTTTAGCTGTTCATTAAGTGGGTGCCAACAGACGATATTCCTTCATTTCCCCCCATTCGGTCAATAAAGATAACGATCTGCTTATCTAGCCGCTCAGTGATAATATGTCATTGCCAAAAAAAGTGCTGTTTCTGACAAGCCAAAAGTGGTTCTAATTAACAGGCTATGTTTTCAAAAAAATTTAAAACTGTTTCAAAGAAAGCATAAAGACCATGGGTGGTGTTATCATTGTCGATTTTAAATGCAGTGTATTTGTTATTTTGATGTTTTTTTTTTTTTTTTAGAGATTACGACCCGTGTCAGTCACTGGGTGATTGTAACACGTGAAGTCATCTTCACCTCACACTCACGAGCAAACTGACGACGTGTTTTCTTTATTTATGTCTGGAGAACTCTATCAGGAACACTCAGTGCTGGGAGCCGCGCAGGGAGACGGGCCTGACTCTATACTGAATGTTTTACTCATTCATGACGCCAGACGCTACAAGGCTTGGCCTTGATTCTTTTTAAAATCCTTCCAAGACAGCTGCGTGGTCACTTGTTGCTAGGCAGAGTTCGTTGGGCTCATTTCCAACTGCCCCATTAAAAAAAAAATACAAATGTCGGTACTGTACATTCTATCTGTACGTTCAAGTTGGTGCTGTTCCATTTCAGGACCTGCAGATGGGGATAATGTACATTTAAAACTATCAAAATAAATCAGGAAGATAGAAAAGCGCCATCAGAATGCGTCGAATGATGCTAACAACTGCACTAGGTGCTTTTGTGTGATGACATAACTAGGCAGAGTTAATAGGACCCATTCCTGACTGCCCCCATAGGCCAATGAAGGACAAAACTAGGCCTTGTAGATGGCGACAATTGGAACGGAATGCTAAAAAAAAAACAAACAAAAAAAAAAACATGCTAACCACAGAGCGAGGCACTTCTTTTACGAAGAGCCACCACTTGATCGCTCTCCATGTACATTCAGGCTGATGCTGTTCCTCTTTACGGCCTGTAGATGGTGATAATGTGCCTGTCAAACTGTCAAAACAAATCAAGAAATCCAAAATGTAAATTTTGAGTGCTAAAAATGAGGCTAACCACAGCGCTAGCTGCTTGTAGCTGCCGCCTTTCCCTGGCCTGTCTGCACTCCCGCTGCCGTACGTTCGTCTATGTGCCCTGCGATTGGCTGACACCCAGTTCAGGGTGTATTGCACTGACTGTCCAAGACAGCTGGCATAGACTCCACCATGCCCGTGACCCTTGCGAGAATAGGCGGATTAGAAAATGGATGGATGGATGGATATACATAATTAGAAAATAATTACTGACAACAATAATGATAATGGTATTAATAACAGTAAATAGCTTAAATGGCATCCTTAAATACATAAATAATAACTACAAAAATAATTGAAAATATATATGAATATAAATTCATGTGACCATAAATAATATATCATAGAAATAATACAATAAACAAATATGAATTTATAACATGAAAAAATGAATACTTAAATTAAATGAAAGGCAAAATTCACTTTTTATAGATAATATTTTACCAGTCTGAGTGTGCCAACAAAATGTGTGTTTGTTTGCACTTGAACATGGTCACCTTGGTGGCAAATGGCTTTAAAAACGAACAAACAAACAAAAAACAGAAGGAGTAGAGCTACATACTGTATTCATATTATGAATATGAATGAATGTGTTTGACTTGCTTTTGGGGCTCATTTGAAGTTGTGTGCGTGTGTTTGTGACGTGTGTGCATCTGTGTGTGTATAAAGAGGGGTGGAACTGTTTAAAAGAGACCGACTGAACAAAGTCTACATTCCCTTGCGAGTGGCCTTGGTCTCACACACACACACACACACACACACACACACACACACACACACACACACACACACACACACACACACACACACACACACACAGGCGGTTTGCTGAGAGGAAGAAGCCGTGTGTGAGTGTGTGTACGGTGGATCCGGAAAGTATTCAGAGCTCTTAATTTTTTCCACATATGTTATCTTAAATGGACTCAGGGAAACCGCAGATTGCAAATATTTGACACTCCCTTCTAACTGCCTTTAAAAAAAAGTTGTAGTAATAGGCGAGGGATCAGGTTAAAAAACAAACCACACACGCACACACACACACACACACACACACACACAGGCGGTTATTGGACTTTTGTATTTTGTGTGTATTGTGGTCCCTTCAGATCCATTAAACTTGTATACTAAAATATGTGTCAAGGTTAATAATTTTCCATCTTTCAATGAATGAAAGTCAATGTGACCCAAGTAGATGGACACACATTTTCGAAAGTCATTTTTCCCATGGGAAATAGAAATAATCTGTTGGATGGTCATATTTTTGCCCTCATAAACATGCATGTTATCATTTGTAAAACCTATACGAACTTACAAATAAAGTAAACGGTGTTGATTTCGATTTCTATAAACGTAACTTGGAGACAAAAGTCAAAGGCGGATCTATAACAAGTGATGATGATGCGTGTTCAAAAATGACAAAAGTCGGAAAATGACAATGACGCCTAAATCACTTGCTTGTGTCTGGGTGTGCAGCTCCTCCTCAAACCTCCTCTTGCAAGCACAATGAATATATATTTAACTCCGTCAACCATGCCACGCAACGTAAAACCCTTTTTGCAAGTCTTCAATTAGAAATGAATGAACTGCAATTGCCAAACTGGAATGGCAAACTCTTGTAATCATTAACTTCAGAATTATTATCGTTGGCCGCACGTTCACAGACTTAAATATGTATTCATTGTGCTCGTGAAAGGCGCTTCAAAGAGACGCTTGAGACATAAGACTTTAAAAATGCAACATAAACATAATTAAAGGTGCATTTTTGGATTGAAAAAATACTTTTTTTGTGAAGTGATCGAGTGATCTTTCGGCCACACAAGCTGCAGCATGTGCCCTTGTAAAAATGTGTTTCTTGCCTATTGAACTCCTAATCCCAGTGGCACCGACTCTCACTCTCTGCCCCTCATGAGAGACTTTGCAGTGGGTGGGCGGGCGAAGGGGGCAAAGGTAGCAACTCCAGATCAGCAACACTACCAAACTTTTCCACAACAAATATTTTTCGTCATGTCAGCTCATCTAATGACGGACACGTTTACGGCGGGAGGCCCCAATCTGGCGGCCTCCATCCTTTGATTTTGGTCGTAACTTACTTCTCATGTTCAAAAGGAGCCGCGGGGCGAAATAAGCGGCGCTATCTAACAGGAAATTCTTTCATCATTCCAAGACTTCTTTTAAAACACCAGCACACTCCACATTGCCTGAAGTACACTTTATTTGAGAGCAGTTCAAATGAGCGCTGTTGATTGACAGGTCTGAATTATTGGAGAAATCAGGTAACGGAAAACTGTGTGAGTAAATAACGACAAGAGGACGATGTATGGTTATGTACCTTTGTTCACTTTCTTGGAGTGCTTTTTTATTCATCTTTAAAGCAGTTGAAATCATAGTAATATGTTTTGGTTGATGGCAATGATGATCAATATCATTTTTGTGACCTGGATCGCATCCCAGCTGACTTAGTATAGGCGTCGAACACACTGGCCTGGTCGCCAGTCAATCTCAGGGCACATGTCATAAAAAGTCTACTAGAACATCTGAAATTTATTTGGGGTCAATCAGCGTTTTTTTTTAACCCAGTTATAAGTAGGTGTGCACACTTATGCAACCTCATTATCGCAGCTTTCGCTCTTGAAATTTTTAAAAATTCAATTGGTATAGTGGAAAAAAGTTCTGAAATTATGTATCTAGTTGTAATTTCTTAATTTCATAAAAATGGTCATTTGAACAGGGGTGTGTAGACTTTTTCTATTCACTGTACCGCTCACTGATAGGAACGTTAGCCAAATATCAACTGATATGATTTCGACGTCTCACGTGAATCACTCACTTGCATATTGAGTTCATCTTTTTAGCTCCTTTGGTTAGCACATTTACAGTAAGCCTGTCAAACTGCATCATCTGATGCAGGAATCATCCATCCAAATTTATATAAAACTCATGTGCATTAGGAACAGAGCTGAACTGGAGCCTAATCACAGCTTATGTTGACGAGAGGTTTGCTGGGCACAAAACAGTCAGGAAAAGCCTACTCAAACAGCTAAAATGTATTTGGGGTTAATCAAAGGCATTTTAAACTGTGGCAGTTGTGTGCAAACTCCCAGTTAGCATGAGGCTGAATAGGTTTGGCTAATTCTGCGGTCTGTACACAGTCACATTCCCAATTAATAGAGGGTGTGTACACTTATGCAACCAGATGATCTCAGTTGTTTACCAATACTTTTATTTCTTCTTCTCAAAACGACCTCTTTGACTTTTTTTCACCCTCTCTCTCACCCACCAGCTGGCTCACTGGCATCCAACTGACACGTCCAAATCCAGAGAAGGTCGAGAAGGTAAGTTGCCACTTCCTGACAAAATTGTCCGCCATCATCCACTCTGTGGTGTAACTGAGACTTGCGTTCTCACTCAGTGCGACGGTGGTTGGAGGTGTACTCCCGCAGTGGCTGCGAGCCCCGAGAGACCTTGGTGGAGGTCTGGCGGGAGTTGCCGGGGGAAACGCACCACCTTTTCGTGCCCTCCTGCGTAGCGGTGAGGAGGTGCGGTGGATGCTGCGCCGACGAGGCCATGGAGTGCGTGCCCTCGCTCACGCACAAGCTCACCATGGAGGTACACACACGCACGCACGCACACCAATATTCAACACATCCATGTTGTGAGATGGAAAGCTGGCCTTCATGTGTTTTGTTTTGTGTGTGTGTAGCTGATGAGGACTTCCTTTATGAAACATGAGCTGATTCAGCTGACTTTTGTGGAACACAGCCAGTGTGAGTGCAGGTAAGAAACACACACACACACACACACACACACACACACACACACACACACACACACCCACACACACACACACACACACACACACACACACACGCACACAATTTTTTTTTATGATTCACTGGTATAGGTACCCGAATCAATCCAAATCTAAATGATATCGATGCCAATATGAGTACTGATACTGATGGATACCAGTGTAATATGGTTAGTTTGGTTTCAGTTCTAACATTTTGTACTGTATTTTAACTGTTTGGTTTTTAGGTTTCTAGGCCATTAAAGAACAGTGTTGAAAAGGAGATTTTTTAAATTTTTTTATTCCTAATGATAGATTTTTGTTTAGATTTTTTGTGTGTGAAAATGAAGTAGATTTTTTTTTTTATTAATTTCAGAAAACAACCTGAAAGACAATCACCCAATGATTTAAATTGTATTGAAAGTTCTGTATTGTACTTTCTGAACCCCAACAATATTTTGTTCAATATGCTTCAGAAAAACAATCTAGTCATGATTGGGAAGAGGGAAAATTAATTTGTGTTACTGTTCTATTGTATCTGAACAAAAATGTCTTATCGTGATTATACGTAATTTATGTTTACCAAACAAACGTTGCCCAAATTCTCACCTACGAGAAGAACAATGAAAAGGTTATGAAAGTTGACTTTGTAGCTCCTCTTACTATAGCACAATGAATACATATTTAAGTCCATCAACTGCATCATATCTATTTGCAGGTTAAAAGAACAGCTCCGGCTGACACCAACGACAAGGTATCGTCATTTGCTCTATTTTGGACTTTTTATATCATCAACAATATTTTGAGCTCTGTAGGTAGTCTTCACAACGTATCTCAAAAAACAATATTAAGATTTGAAAATAAAATACGTGCAAGTTTAATCATATGAACGCATTCCTTGTCTGAGGAGCAAAGCGTGTTTAGATTTGGAAACAGCCTGCAGCCTAAAAAGACTGTCATATTTACATCGCCCCTCTTCCTGTTTGGATACGGACATAAATACAGAGTTCCAATCTATTAGTGTGTGCTGTATGTGTGTATACGTTTGTTTAATGACTCAGTAAGGTTTTATGCGCGTGGGTGCTTTGGCTATACAATGACTAGACCAACCTGCACGATGTCATACATCTGTAACAACGTGTACAAGTTCAACCTGTGTTTGAAATTTGTTTCTCCTGTGTAATGTCCCTCATCGAGTTAGCATCTGCGTGACTCCCTCTCAGCATCCCCTGGGGCGACCCGCATCCTGTTGTCACCATAGTAATGATTTTTATCTGGCCCGCCATGTGCGCACACTCACTGGTAATGATGGAGCACAGTCACGCATCCGCCCCGCCGTCGTCATCATCCTTGTACGTCTATTAAATGGACGACAACAAAACGGGACATTAGGAACCTGATGATGTGCCAGCCGTGCAGCTAAATGAGCCCATCATAATTTGAGCTTGTTAAAAAGAAAGAGGCCAAGAATACATTTTGAAGGCGGTGGATGTTTAGATTTTCAACCATGTGAATCCGTTACAGGACATTTTAATATTCTAAACATTCATACCAGTGTAAAAAAAAAAAAGCGGTTTTATATTTACATACATAGCCTGTTTTTTGGGGTTTTTTTTACATTCTTAAGGGTCAAGATTAAAAATAAGTTAACCATCATTCGTATTGAGATTTTTTTTTTTAAACATCTTGACAGTCATACATGACGAGGACAACATGGGTAAGTGTGAGCCTAGTGCTCTTGTAATGTGTATGTGGTGTACTGGAGATGACCAAAGCAGCATATTTTGGTTGAATGTTGAAGTGATACCTGACTCGGTAGAACTCCTAAACGCATCTCAACTCAGTTCCATTTAAAGCGCATTTTAAAAACAGCTGCAGTTGATACAAAGTACATAAATGAAAATCAGACATTGCAGAAGATGATTTCAAAACAATACAATTAAATAGGAAACTAAAATAACGGCTCGAGTCTCATACTGTGTTAAACGTCGAGGAATAAAAATGTATTTCAAGGCAGGCTTTAAAAATGTGCAGCCAAGGATTTGGTCTTAAATACGCACCAGGAGGACATTCCATAATTTGGGACCAGCGAAAGAATTAGCCGTTTCCCCTCTGAGCTACCGCTTGGACTTCAGTACCTCCAGGAACTGCCGATCAGCTGACCTGAGGCACCCAGCAAGAGGGTAAGGTTGAAGCAGCACAGGGAGCAAAGACAATATCAAAATGTATTTAAAAAAAAATAAAAATAAAAAAATTAAAAAAAAACGCATAGCAAGTAGAATCTTAAAATGAACTAGGAGAGGTGAACCAGAATAGGAGACATGCGCTCCAACTTTCATATCCCAGTTAAGAGACAAGCAGTAGCATTTTGAACCAAATCAGGACATTTGAGAGGAGACTGGTTGATTCTAAAGTGCATAACATCCATCCATTATTTTCGGATCTGCTCAATGTGATTAATTAAACTGGAAAAATAAAATCAAATGTAGCGTGGTTCTGTCACAATAATTGTCAGCATCTCTGCCTTCAAAATGTTCCTGAAATAACCCAAGAAATCAAAACTTTTCAATTGAGGCCTTTTTGGGGTTCTTTTACTGGCAAAATGAACGACACAGGGTCCTGTCTCTGTTACTAAAACTAAGAATTTTCTCATCTTTTGTCATTTTCAGGCCCTATCACGAGCCAACAAGAGTCAAGAAAAAGGGCCGAGGAAGTAAGACAGTTGGAGGCATCCGAAATGCGTAGGTTCAGATCATATATCCATCATTCCATCCATTTTCTGTCACCGATCACAGATGACTTTCGGGTGAGAGGTGGAGTGTATCAGGCACTGGTTGCTGGCCAATCGCAGGGTGCAAATAGCACCCCTAAGTACAAGTTAGAAACTTCAATGGTCCTAATGTGGATGTCTTTGGAATGTGGGAGGAAGGTACCCGGAGAAGACTTTTACCCTCAAGATTGGAACCCAGACACCAAGAAGTGTGAGGCAGATATGCTAACCGCTCGTCCATCTTCATCCAAACGTCATCCTATTTCATTTCAAATATTTTCCCTTTGGGAATGGAGTTTTTATATGCAGCGCGTATTCAAACAGCTCCCCTTTGCGTGTGTTTGGATGAGGGGTTATCTGGTCTTCGTTATTTGACACAGTTATTTGGACTATTTCTTTTACAGCCGCATTAGTCAAGGTCTGACACACACCCACACACAATCACACGCATGCACACACAAGTTCGCTCACCTCTGTGTGATACTCGCGACTCAAAGAGATCTTTGTGGTCGCGAATATACAGTCGGGATGAACAGAATGTGTCTTTGTGGCCCACATTTAACACTCCACAGCACCCCGGGCGGTTCAAAGGAGGACAATAAATAACAGTGGAAAATGGAGGATGATATTAGTTTCGTTTATTTGTCAAGGACTATGTATGGAAAATATGAAATAAAGTCACTGATGGTCCCTGTGGCAGGTAGGAAACAAAATGAAGAAAATAGTAGCAAAGTTAAGTTGAAAGGGATTTGGTATTGCAAACCTGATATGTATATATGACACATTTATACTCACATGAAGTATATTAGTATATTTACTCACATCCAGATTACATTAGTCACACCTCTATACAGTAGCGTTCCCCCGCTATATCACGGTTCCGCTGTATCGCAGAAATCCGCGATTTACAGCAATTTTGGGAAAGGTGAGCTGCAGACGTATTTTTTTTTAGCCACTTCGTGAACGCTGAGAGAACAGCCGCGCAGGGCCACAGCTCCCACCCAGACCTTCACGCGCATACTCGCTCACATCATGTGCCTCCCATCAGGCCCCTCCTCTTAAAGTCACATGTACACAACAATACTTACATAAACGGGCATTCACCGTACTAATATCAAGTATATTAGTTGCATAGGAAATGCAAATACAGTCATACCTTGGTTTTCAACCATAATCCATTCCAGAAGACTGTTCGAAAAGCGATTTGTTCGAAATCCGGAACTATTTTATTTGCCCATGATTAGGGGCTAATACACAATGCAGAAATAACATAACAGTCAGATTTGCGTAAATCACAACAAACACGTCTGCTCACAATGAACGCTACCTCGTGTAAGGAAGCCGAGAGGAGTCGAGTGGCATATTCGGGTTTGCTCAGTTTAGTCGAAAACTGGTTTTCGGTCGTAATCCGAGGCGTAAAAATTTAGAATTTTCTGGTCGTAATCCAATTTGGTCGATGACAGAGGCGTTTGAAAACCGAGGTTTGACTATCAGGTGGATCTAAGGAGTCACTGCTGATAATAGTAACACGTAGATAAACACGGTACAAAAATAAACAAAGCACTACTGACACGTACTTTGAAGAAAGAAAGACAAACAACCCCACATAAAGTTTTTCTAACACGTAAATTCTAACCAATGAGAAAGGAGGACAATAAGGAGGAATACTAGGAAAATGCCAGAGCTTACAAAAAATAGTGTGCTAAAAACAACCAAGTAGGAGCGGCAATCAACTTGCGAGTAAGACAGCAAACAGTAGCTCCCAGGGGGAAAAAAACACGGTGAAGAGCGAACTGACAGAAAAAAGAAAAACGCAAAAATAATCAGTAGATCATGTCATGATGGTCTTCGATTAAGTGGGTAACCTGTTCCATCCTTGTATGGAGTTCTACAAGCCCACAGTATAAACGGTGTGTATAGTCTGCGTCTTTCGTGACTGAATGTGCGATCGCAGCTCGACGGTGTGAAGTGTGTGGGAAGCCACCGTTTGAACACCAAGTACAATGAAAACCTTGTAGCACTGTGGCACGAGATTGACATGTGTGTTTAGCACCATGATTCCCATGACGGCATCCAGACCGTTTGGAGGGATAAAAGAATTAGCACACCTTTTGGCGGTCACTCATATCCGGGCCCCAGGGGGTCAGAGGGGGCTCCGTGTTGGGTGTGATGTCCCCTCACAACCCATCCATCACCTCCAACGGGCTTTATTCGAGCTCTAGCAGGGGTGAAATCTGTGTAATTTGCCCCCGAATGCCACCTTCTCTGTCGGTGCCAGCGGCAGGCGTGGTCACCGCGGCCCTGGACAAAGATGGCCTCTCTCTGCCTCATTAAGTATCTTCATTATCCGCCAGCCTCCTGGGAAGACGCAAATGGAGACGCTTTTCTCATCGACCAGACTGGAAACTATGACCACTGAGGGGATGAGCATGAGAAGGAAACAGGATTCATGGCAAAGATTTCACTGTAGATGTTTCATTTTTAGCCGCAGGAAGAATCAGGGCCTGGAAAGCGATAAACAGTTTGACAGACAGGGAATTTCAAAAGTCACAATACACTTCCTTTTAAATATTTCGTTTCAGTTATTCTTTGGAAAGATGCGAGATGCATCAGTGTCTGACAGCTTATGTTTTAGCAAAACTACCTCCTGGGAAGAAGTTTTTATGTCCCCCGACTGCAGTTCAGCTCCAGTTTGAGGACCTGCACCCTGCTCCAATGCGAGGTACAGGTTTCTCGAAAAAAGGCTCTGTTTTTGATAAACCACCCAGATGAGAACACCAAACTCTTAGATCTTTTGTGTGAACTGTGAAACTCGGCATCATCAAAAGCTTGATTTGGCAGATGATGCCAGGAGCGACTTCAGGTTGTTCTGTATTGTAATCTTCCGCTCGAACCCTTTGAGCAACCTGACAGGCAAAGCTCTCCGAAGCATCTGCTGATTCGAGCTTTTGTTGATGCTGAATTCCAGTGCAGCCAGCCAGCTAGATGTTTCCTGGCTTTGTGCCCTGCTCTAGGAGTTTGGGGTTTTCATCACGGGTGGTAGTAGCAACCCTTCCACTGCGTCGTTGGACAAGAACAGATCCTGTCATGAGAAACATGCCATGGATAGCATAAATTGGACTACTCGTTGGAGCAGTGTGACGGTCCTGAACTCAATGTATGTGGGAATAATATCTTTACAAAGCCTTAATGATCAAATGCAGATGGCCCCTGTCCTAAGGATACCTGAAACCAAATAGGAAAACAGAAGTGTCTAGGGACATTTAGGACATTATTGGGAGTCACCTCCCATCGGTGCAAGTCACAAGTCAGTTTCAAGTCTCAAACTCCAGTCCCAAGTTACTGTGGCAAAGAACAAGCAATTCAGGTCAAGCCCCCACTGCATTTAAAGCAACTTGAGTCAAATCATTACTTGTATGAAGACCTCGCAGAAAGTGTTCATCCAAAATCTGCATTATTATCCTTGTTTAAGGTAGAATATGGATACAATTCCATTTGCGTGCAGCATAACAGCTAAATGTTGCTTCACCATGTTTGCTTTGAAGTCTGGCCTCCACTAATTGACCCTAGTCCGCAGACCTCCCATCAGCCTTTCTTTACGATTAATCTAATCATCCAACTGTTGTTTGTCCTCCGCAGGACTCCTGTTTTCTCCTTTTCCCCCACCAGCTCTCCTCCTCCGCCGACTTTGCGGCCATCTTGTCGGCCATGCAGAGGCAGAAAGTGGACGCTGGATACGGCCTCATGTCGATGTCTCTGCAGAATCACTGCTGAGAGCTGCCACCGAAAGCACCGGCAACTCGACCCGCATCGCTGCAGGTTGGTGCAAACTGCAGACACATACTGTATGTGCAATGAACCGCCGGCTGTTCGTGGTTCACTTTTTTTTTTTTCCTGCCACTCCAAAAATGAAGAAACTGCCACCCACTCGTGGGCTTGAACGCACAATCCTGTGATTAGGAGGATCATACTCTAAAAACTGCACACGTCAGGCTCGGTAGCATACTTGCTTTGTACATGTAGTCCCTTGAATATGAAAGATCTTCACTAGCTGCCAAGTCATGTATGGGCAAACTCAGCGTGGGGGCGGGATAATTTAAATCAGCCCTACTGTTGCGCCACAGTTCGGCAAAAATTCTGAATGGCTAACTCACAGGCACATTTTTTGGAAATAATTAGAGAAAAGATTTATATTGCTGTCACTGTGTGGACAATTTCATCAAGCGATCAAGAATGTGCAAGATTTTAGAAGCTGAATACTGTATTGTTAAACGTAAGTTTTGCAGCCAATCAAACTCATAATCAAACTCATTGCAGGTCTGCTTACCTTTTGGCTGTGGCATAATAGAAGGATTGATTGTTTCAGACAGTGTGCGCCGGGGGCTAATTGAAAGTACCACAGGATCTTCACCTTCTTAAACCCGGAAGTACGGAAAGTCTTGCTCACAAAAGCAGGCTAATGACGAAAGATTTCTACGGTTGTTTGATTCCACACTTTAAAAGCAGACCTCAGATTTTTTTTTTTCTTCTGTGTTCACTTTCAGGTGTGATGCCATGAGGACTTGACACATTCCCCTTCTCACCTCGTCCTCTCCACCCAAACCCGCCCAACGGAAGTATTATTAGCACACAGCCTGTATTAGCTTTTTCAAGTTAAGCCACCACTGTAGCACTCTACATGTACATCGTATGTGTGTGTGTGTGTGTGTGTGTGTGTGTGTGTGTGTGTGTGTGTGTGTGTGTGTGTGTGTGTGTGTGTGTGTGTCTCCACATGTACAGTACATAACGTGCGCAGACACGTCCATTCACTGAACACCTCATACAAGCGCAGGGACCACAGCGCTGATTTATGATTTATGGATAAACATTCCCCAGTAGACTACGGCTTTGCAGTTGCTTGAACACCGTTGGGACTATCATGGATGAAGTGGACCTCTTGAAACACTGAGACAGATTTTTTTCAGGTTCACATTGGGGCCAATGCTTGTGTGGAGAGTTAAAAAAAAACAAAAAACCTGCAATCAGATAAAAGGTGCAAACACAGTCAGGCATGGTGGACGGGACATAGTATACGCACATGCAATGGCACAGCCTATGTGTGTGTTTGGACCTATCGTCGTGCTGAATGTATCTGTGTGGTCTGGCTCTGAAAGACTCCAGATGGGTTATCCCTCGCCTAAAGCATATGAGCACGGGCGAGCCTTTTGCAGCATTTGTTTTAATTTGGGCCCTTTTGTCTCTTGTCTTTTCCATCGGATTGAAAGCGGACGCCTTTCGCCTCGCTTTGCCTCGCTTTTAGGCAGTGAGAAGAATGACAATAATGAGGTCTGGCGTCTGTCCACTGCTTTGCACAACACACACACACACACACACACACACACACACACACACACACACACACACACACACACATTCCCAGTGAAAGCAGGAGCGCAAATAGCACATACACACAAACAATGTGAAACGAATGCAGGAAGCCATAAGCTTTTTTTGTCTTTTCTATATATTACGTGCATTTTTTTTATTAAACAAGCCTCGATATTATGCATTTTTCTAATTTTATCACATTGCTTGAATGTCCCGTTTTGTTTGTCCACAATCTGTCCGCATAGTCAAGCCGGGTGGCCCAAATGTCTTGAGTCCAAATGGATATGTCTCACTCACACAAACCACAAAAGAGCAGTAATCGGTATGCATTAAAATAAGTTAATCACACAAAAAAAAAAGCAGTGAAAGGAAAAGGTGGGATCATGTCTTGTTCAGGGTATAACAGACCGCCGTTTACGGATGTTCTTTGGTATAAAAAGGACAAAGGAGGCCCCAAATGGGTTGTCAGTCAATGTGACAGGCCAAAGCTGGAGCTCTATACACATCACGCTCCAAAATCCGCAGCCGTATTGACGTGACGGACCAAAAGGCGGAGCTGTGTAGATTTTACGGACTAAAAGTCGGAGCTGTATTGAGATGACGGTCCAACAGCCGGAGCCAGATTGTTGTGACAGACCAAAACAGAAACCGTATAGACATGACAGACCATGACCAACGCTGTACTTGACGGTCAAAAGCCAGAGTCGGATTAATATGATGGGCCAAAACTGGAGCCGTATGGATGTTATGCACCAAAAGTTTCGAGTGCTGATTTTTTTTTTTTTTTTAAACAGGAACGTTTTTGTAGTCACAGTTTAGCCCTTTGCCTTCATTGAAAGTGTCAAAAGTACACAACCTAGCCTTGGGCACTCCGCCGTAAATGAATGACTGGGACTGCCTCAAGTAAAGACAAACTGCATGACAAATACCATATTTATACCTTTATGTCAAGTTAAAATCTCTGTCATTGCATCGATCACTACCTCTTTATCAGAACACATTAGTAACCTAACATTACATTCTTATCTTAACGCTTTTGCAAGTGTATTTATTAATAAGTACATGTTGGGTTTTTTTTGTTTTTCGTTTTTTTGGCTAACCTGACACCATGTGTTACGGAGGCCCCAGATATGAGATGGGGATTTTTTTTCTTGGCCACAAAATAATGCAACATGCGTACATTATGCCTATTTTGCGGCAAAACTATAATAATTCGTTGCCATGAAATACGGTCAATATAGTCTGCACATGAAATACAAATTTTTAAGCAAATGCACCGCACATTCGCTACGAATAGCAATGCAGCTATTTGAGACGTCGGTTGCATTTCCATTAAATCCCCAGAATGAGGCTAAGCTCGTTATATCAATTTGGAGGAAAGTGTTCGGAAATACACTCTGATACGCTAACACCACACTGCGACTGGGTGCGTTCAGAGAGGTGGAGCGTACTCCCCTCCCATCAATTTCAGAACACAGCCCATTTGCTAAGCCATAGGAGCTTGTGCTTGAACTGTTTCCATCCAAACTGTCTGATGCTCTGGGCATCAGACAGTGTCCCCAGTTGAAGCAGCTAATGCAAGCTCTGGCACTCTTTTTTTGGTGCACTCTGAATAACCGAACGGAACATTTGAACAATGCTCTGAGTTTCTGATTGGCTGGATTGAAGCATTGCACGCTTGGGGCATATTTCCGAGCGCACCCTAGATTTTCATCGTGCTTTTAAAATTTTGGTTTGACCTTTATTTTGCTGGTATTTTAAACTTCTATTGTTTTCCCATTATAATAAGACCGATCAGACCTATCAGAATGAGGCTAATGGTTTAGCTTTACTTTTTACTGAGTTAGCTGTAGCAGAACAAAAAAATATTATGCATTTTTCTAATTTTATCACATTGCTTGAATGTCCCGTTTTGTTTGTCCACAATCTGTCCGCATAGTCAAGCCGGGTGGCCCAAATGTCTTGAGTCCAAATGGATATGTCTCACTCACACAAACCACAAAAGAGCAGTAATCGGTATGCATTAAAATAAGTTAATCACACAAAAAAAAAAGCAGTGAAAGGAAAAGGTGGGATCATGTCTTGTTCAGGGTATAACAGACCGCCGTTTACGGATGTTCTTTGGTATAAAAAGGACAAAGGAGGCCCCAAATGGGTTGTCAGTCAATGTGACAGGCCAAAGCTGGAGCTCTATACACATCACGCTCCAAAATCCGCAGCCGTATTGACGTGACGGACCAAAAGGCGGAGCTGTGTAGATTTTACGGACTAAAAGTCGGAGCTGTATTGAGATGACGGTCCAACAGCCGGAGCCAGATTGTTGTGACAGACCAAAACAGAAACCGTATAGACATGACAGACCATGACCAACGCTGTACTTGACGGTCAAAAGCCAGAGTCGGATTAATATGATGGGCCAAAACTGGAGCCGTATGGATGTTATGCACCAAAAGTTTCGAGTGCTGATTTTTTTTTTTTTTTTAAACAGGAACGTTTTTGTAGTCACAGTTTAGCCCTTTGCCTTCATTGAAAGTGTCAAAAGTACACAACCTAGCCTTGGGCACTCCGCCGTAAATGAATGACTGGGACTGCCTCAAGTAAAGACAAACTGCATGACAAATACCATATTTATACCTTTATGTCAAGTTAAAATCTCTGTCATTGCATCGATCACTACCTCTTTATCAGAACACATTAGTAACCTAACATTACATTCTTATCTTAACGCTTTTGCAAGTGTATTTATTAATAAGTACATGTTGGGTTTTTTTTGTTTTTCGTTTTTTTGGCTAACCTGACACCATGTGTTACGGAGGCCCCAGATATGAGATGGGGATTTTTTTTCTTGGCCACAAAATAATGCAACATGCGTACATTATGCCTATTTTGCGGCAAAACTATAATAATTCGTTGCCATGAAATACGGTCAATATAGTCTGCACATGAAAGACAAATTTTTAAGCAAATGCACCGCACATTCGCTACGAATAGCAATGCAGCTATTTGAGACGTCGGTTGCATTTCCATTAAATCCCCAGAATGAGGCTAAGCTCGTTATATCAATTTGGAGGAAAGTGTTCGGAAATACACTCTGATACGCTAACACCACACTGCGACTGGGTGCGTTCAGAGAGGTGGAGCGTACTCCCCTCCCATCAATTTCAGAACACAGCCCATTTGCTAAGCCATAGGAGCTTGTGCTTGAACTGTTTCCATCCAAACTGTCTGATGCTCTGGGCATCAGACAGTGTCCCCAGTTGAAGCAGCTAATGCAAGCTCTGGCACTCTTTTTTTGGTGCACTCTGAATAACCGAACGGAACATTTGAACAATGCTCTGAGTTTCTGATTGGCTGGATTGAAGCATTGCACGCTTGGGGCATATTTCCGAGCGCACCCTAGATTTTCATCGTGCTTTTAAAATTTTGGTTTGACCTTTATTTTGCTGGTATTTTAAACTTCTATTGTTTTCCCATTATAATAAGACCGATCAGACCTATCAGAATGAGGCTAATGGTTTAGCTTTACTTTTTACTGACTTAGCTGTAGCAGAACAAAAAAAAATAGATTTGATATTCCTTTAAAATTCTGGTTTAACCTTTATTTTTCCGATATTTGCAATGTTTGTGCTCCCATTAAATCCCGAGGGGTTAGGGTTTAGCTGTTTGCTAGCTGTACAGCACTGCTATATGCTAAGCTAGTGGTCACACTCATCATTCCACATTAGAGTTGCTGAACTCATTTATCACTTTAAATCCTTTTTAAATTATAATTTGTTAATATTTTTGAAATGTTTGGCCCCTGAATATCCAGAATGAGGCTGGCTGTTTAACTTTGCTTTATTCTAAACTAGCTATAACGTCTTAAAGGCTTTAGACTTTTATATTGCTCTTAAAATGCTGGTTCAACTTTTGTTCTGCGGCTATTTGAGGCTGATTGTTCTCCCACTAAATCCACAGAATGAGGCTGGATAGCTGTAGCAAAACTAGAGTAACTTTAATTTTTTCCCTTAAAAAAAATAAAATAAAATAAACACTTGCTCCATCACATACAACTTCCTCACTTACACTTTAGCGCAACAAAGCCAGATAGGCTCATGTGATATTTAAAGGTTTGTGCTCTATAAGTTTTCGTTCTATACAGCTCAATATCCGTCCATCCAGATTGCACTGTAGCAAAAAGCACATACAGTAGACAGTAAATGCTATCCTTGCAGAAAAACCACACACAACAAAAACATTCCAGTGGAAGGAGACGAGGTGCTGAGCTCTCAGGAACGCCAGTGGGGGTAGGGCATTTAGAAGTCTGGATGTTACTTGTTCATGTCTACAAATGATATTTTAATACTAAATCCAAGCAGGAACGAACATGTTTGACATTTAGGCATCACAACAGCTTGATCTATTCAAATAATGTCTGTATTTGTGTGCTTTGCATCTGCACAGTTGACTGTAAAGATAACCTTTGTCCAAATTATGTAGTGATGACCCTTACTAAACGTATATGACGTTTTATAGCCTCTTGTCTATGACATAGTGCATTCCGTAGCGCAGGGGTTCTCAAACTTTTTGGGTCCGAGGACCCTTAGAGGGGACATTTTTTTCCCCTTCATAATCCTAACACTAATTAAACATAATTAGCAGGAATTGAAATATCCTAATTAAATATAACAGGAGGGAGATGATTTTAACAAGCTAATGCACTTTGAGTTGCATTTTATTTGATGTATGAGAAGCGCTTTATAAATAAAGTTTGATTGATTGAGATTGCCACAGGAATTTTAAAAGTTGCCTATCGTAATGTTCCCCCAATTTATTTTTATATTTTCTTTCCAGAATGTTTTTAGGGAATATCATGAAAATAAAGTTCTAGTTCTTTAAGGAAAAAAAAAATGTAGTACTCTATACATATAACATATTTTGTTGGAATTCAAAGACGTCATTTTGTAAGGATAGTTGTATATATCAAAAGAAAGTTAAAATACTTAGATATTAAAGTCAGCATTTAATAAAGGAAGTCATACTTTTTCAAAGGAAGTTAAAAAAACTACTACTAGTTTTATTCTGGAAAATATGCCTTTGTTCTAAAAAACAAAAATAGGGCTATAACCTTGAAAAAAAAAGGTCTTTTTCCAGAAAAAAAAGAAGGACACCTTTTGTTCTTTAAAAAAATGTCTTTATTCATTCAGGGATGTCAAGTTTTATTTATTTATTTTTTAATTGGCCCAAAGCTAAGGTATGAAGAAGAAATCACTTTTTTATGTTTCCCTTTACCGGCGCGCCTGTATGTTATGCATTTTGTTGAATGATATGAGATTTAATTATTTATTGCAAATTATTTTTCGGACACTCAAGTGACAGCTCACAGACCCTCGTGGGGCCGGACACCCAAGTTTGAGAACCACTGCTTTAGCCATGTGTTGTGATTGCCGCTGCAGATACATTGTACTACTGTAGCCTGAACAACTCTTTTTTGCTGCTATACCATTTGTGCCCTTTAATAATGTCCTTGTAGAAAAACAAGACAGATTTATGTCATATTAGTCGAAATCATCAACTCCGTGTCCTCATATACAGTATACTGCATCCAATGTATTGGAAGTGATACAACCATCATGTTACAGATGTTATTAAAGGAAACGTCTTATTTTTCATACAAAGCTCTGGTGTTTGTCTCGTTTTACGGTGATGAAAGGCAAACAGGATTATTTTCATGACATCGTCACCCTGTGAGTTGGTGACAGGGAATCGTGTGCGTGTGTGTGAGTGTGTGTGTGTGTGTGTGTGTGTGTTTTGAGACGCAATATTGTTCCCTCTCTGCACCTTATCTGTTCTGCTGAGTCAGAAGCTGCTCGAGGACAAGCTGAATACTGTTACTGCCAATATGGACAGAAGCAAAATAGTTCAACTTTATTGACGCTTTATATGACGCTTTTGTACTTTGTTCATTTTCCCTTGCCTATTATTATTAATGACCAAGTAGACAAGTGACGTTAGAGAGAGGAGAGTAGCGTAGCTGCCAACCTATCTGTCTGTCTGCATGGAAGGGCATCATTCCAGTACTGTACTATATATAGCTGCTGGATGATGGAGACAGAGAGTGAAAGGGACAGAGTGAGTCATCCATCATGGGAGAGAAAAAAGAAGTCTCCATATCTCCCTTTTTTTAACCCAGCCTTGCACTGTTTTAAAACCAATGAAATGATATAATCATCACATAGACTGAGGGAAATAAGTATTTGATCTGATGCTGAATTTTCTGAGGCCACATGAACAGTCTTGGATGGTGGTTTACTGCAGTGTTTCCCATCCTTTACTAAGCAAGTATATGCAGTGGATACAAAAAGTCTACACACCCTTGTTCAAATGTCAGGTTTTGGTAATAACCTATCCCATTTCATTGAATTTTTAAAAATCTTTCTTTGGGAGAAGAAGTGCACAAAAATACAAACAACAACAAAAACAAACAGAAATAAGGTAGTTGCACAAGTGCGCACACCCTTTTAAAACTGGGATGTGGCTGTGTTTAGAATTAACAAATCACATTCAACCTCATGTCCAATGGGAGTCAGCACACACCTGCCACCATTTAAAGTGTAATTAAAAGTTGATTTTATTAACCCCAAGTAATTGTCAGCTTTTTTGTAGGATTTTCCTGACATTATTTAGTTTGTAGCAGAAGCCTGAAGGTTTTGTGCTAGCAACACTAACTGCTGTTTTGAATTGTTCATAATAACCAGTTCCGAATAAAGAAAAAAATTGATGCTGCCACCACCATGCTTCTCTGTAAGTATGGTGTTTTTTCCTTGGTGATGAGTGATGAGAAGTCTTTTGTTTGCCCCTAACATACTGTAGGGAGAAAAAAAAAG